TATATATATATATATGCACTTTAATATTAATTTCACCCTCCATATGAATTCTAGCTAAAATATGAAAATTTATAAACATGGTTATGTAACACTATATTTACCCAAGGGTGAGTCCTTGATTGCTGTAAATCCTGGGGGGAAATAATGAATATCATGACAATTAAAAAAAAATAAAAGTTTAAACTTTATCTTCATATGAGAGCTTACCATCTCCTTTCAGCAGAGTGGTGATCAAGTGATATATCAAATTATGTCTGTCATCTGTTTCCTGGCCTTGGGAGGGGCCAAAATACTTATTTCCAGGGGGCAAATGAATTAAGAGGCAAGCCATTTGGGAGGAAAGAACTAAAAAGTAGCCTGGACAATCCATAAACTGGCCAGTTCGTCTCTGACTAGATCAAGAGGTGGTTTTTGCATTAAAGAATTAGAAGTGTCACTCCCAACTTGTGATTTCTGCAAATATGGGGTCCCACCCAAGCTGGATTGTAAAAGCAGATGCAGAGAGCCAGGATTAAATGAAGGCCTGGGACAGTGTCACCTATTCTGGATCACTTCCAAAGTCTCAGGAGCTAACTGAGGTGCTGGCTGGGGCAGGGCACCTGCCTGACCTCTGTGTACCGCTGAGACACTGGCTGGAAAAACTCAGAATCATGCAGGAAGAAAAAGCAGCCCCTCAACCAAAGAAAAAAAAGAACGTGTGTATGTTGCAAAGGTAAACATCACATCAGCTTTTCTGAAATACTCTGGAACCTAAAGAAAGCAAGCATACAAAGCGTATTTTGAAGCTCTTTTGTTTAAGTGCAGGTTAATACGTTCCATGTGCCATTTCATATTTTGAAAGAATACTGTGAGGAACTAAGCTATCACTCAACGTACTTGTAAAAGCAAATACCTCCAAATCTCTTCATTCCATTGTTAAAGATGCAAATGAGTTTAGCCCTCTAAGGTTTAAGAGAAAACGTTTATGTTTTTTTTTACCAACCTCAGCTGCCAGAAGCACACCACACGGTTTGTGATCAATACTTCACTTTTGAGGAAGAAGCCAAATCTAATCTTGGGAAAACGAGATGCTCCCACACGTCAGTATGGAGAAGGCTAGACGGCAGGAAGCACTTGTTACACCGAGCCCCTTCCCATCAGACCCCAGGAACACAAATTTTAGGTTTGGGGTCCTTGCTGCTTTTAAAGAATTTTATCAAGAAGTTTCTATAAAACCCTGGTTGAAATATGATGGAGCATATAAACAGGATGAGGGGAATAGAAATATAAGTCACAATTGAGCAGGCTCAAGAAATCCCAGGGGCCTATAATAAAGTAATGATGTGTCTATCCACCTCTCAGTAATTCAGCCTGAAATGTGGCTTACAACCACTACAAAAAAAAAAAAAAGTTAGTTAAATAAGCCAGTTTACCATACAAATAAATCATGAGCGGTCCAAGGACAGATGCAGGCAGTAGGGGTTAACAGTAGCTAATAGTGACGATGCATTTGCATGGGAGGTGGATAAGGAGGCCAATGAGTTATGGCTGTTAACAGACAGACAGCACAGGGGTTGTCAATCAGCTTTTCGAAACGTTGACACGTGTCTCCCCTCAAGATATTTTCAGTATTGTGTTCGTGCCTAATTCATTTCAAAATTATTGCTGCCAGGCCCTGTTAGTGTTCATCAAATGCATTTATTTTATTTTAGAAATGTTTCTAACTAAAGGGGAAGACTAATCGGGGTTGCTTATGATGGTCTCCCCCAGGAAAAAAAGTCTGTCCACTGGAGGGCAGGTCGTCATTCTCTCTAAATCCTCTGGCTATGTTTTGAAATAAAACATAAGAGTTAAATGATTATATTTGCTCTCTATTCCACACTGGATGCAATTGATTTTAACTGACTAAATTATCTGATCTCTGCCAAGAATTTTATTTCATTAAGAAAATGATATTATAGTGCATCTGAGATCATAGAGCAGACTAAACATAGTGCCAAAGAAGTTCTGAGAACGCTCCACAGTGAAGGTCTGATTATTTGCAGATGGAATATGAAGGGAAGAAGGGGAAAAAAAAAAAAAAAAAAAAGACCCAGTATCAGATCCCAGGCATTAGCCCTCACCAATTCTGGTATCATTGCTGCCTGCATGGGAGCACAAAGCCAAGAGCATAACTGATCTGCAGAACCACAACAGTTTTTTAAAGGGACTAATCACTTTTCTTCCTGGAAAGTAATATTTCACTGCCACTGTCCCAACACAAAGGGAAAAGGGGAAGTGTTGGTACCACAAAAGGCTCTGCCATGTCAGCTGTCACCGAGGACACGAATTGGCCGGTAGTCAGGCACTCACGGAGGAACTCATTTAAATCCATCTCCTTCGGGAAAGCCAATTGTTTGGCGCGAAGCAACAATTGGTGGAGGATCAATCAGGGGACATGAGATCAATTAAAACCAGCTTAGAGTTCATGAAGAGGAACAATTCACACAACCTGAGTTAGATCTCTATTCATCTCAAGGCTCTCACAATGCACCCTTAAGCTTCCTTGCAACGCAGAATAGCCACTATCACCCTACACTGTCTAGCCGGCCCTTTAAGTAGTTCCACTTTTAATTAAAAACACAGTGCCCCCTTTGTTGGCACGGAGAGTGAGGTCACTTTTAAGGGTCGCAGTTATTTTAGCCAGAAAACTTAGGATTTGGGAAGGGACATCTGTTAATAAAAATTAAAAAAAGAGGTGTGGGGGAGGGGAGGAGGAAATACACTTCGATAGAATTTTTTATTTTTCTGGACAGCCCTCCCCATGTCCATGTTCTGGAAAGCATATGAATTTCGCGAAATTGAAAAGTTGGTTTGGCAAACGTTACCCCTCCCTGCACACTTCGGGACAGGGCTGCTCAGTGTCAGCACGTGGGGATGTGGAGGGTATGAGATCGTGCTAGAGCAACTTTGAAATAAGTAGGGTTTGCCTGGGATACCTAAGAAGGCATCCATAATAGCAGGACTTGGAGATGGCACCGGAGAGCAGCCTGCAGTATCGCTCCTGGCCGCAGGAGTGCTGTCATGTCATGCTCCACGTTAAACTCTGCAGAAACAATACGCTGATCCCTCCCAGCTGGACTGACACCGGACAGGCCCACAGACCGACAGACAGACCTTGCGGGTCAGACAGGCATCCCCGAATGAGCAAGTCCGCTCACACACAAGCACTTGGCAAAAGCCTTTTGATATTTCTGTATTTCCCAAACTCTAAGCACTTGACTTTTTCTCGACCCGGAAGACCGCAACTTGTGCTTCTAAGAGGAGGGAAGAGGGGAAAGCCTCTCCAAACACTTCTGACCACAGTGTCACCAAAAATTGCCAACTCGACCAAATCATGCCTCGAAGGAAAACGCTGGGGTGGAGAAAGGAGCCGGCGGGAGGGGAGAGGAGGGAAGAGGGAGACAGAAAAGGGGCTTTTCCAAGACTTGGTATCCATATCACACTCTCTCTCGTGGCCGCTGGGAGGTATTTCTCTCTAAGTATTTTTATACAGGAGAAAGTTCCTAAAAATAAGCATTTGCAAACGTCAGAAATGAGAGAGAAAGAGCAAGAGAGAGAGAGAGAGAGAGAGAGAGAGAGAGAGAGAGAGAGAGAGAGAGAGAGAGAGAGAGAGAGAGAGAGAGAGAGAGGAGTCTCCTTAGAAACCACCGGTTTGCAGCGTCCGTGGGTGCGCAGGCTGCACCCCGCGGGGCCGTCTCCCCGGCTCTGCCCCCGGCGGGGAGGTGAGAACAGCTTAACGACTTCCTAAAAAAAACGGTGAAAAATTAGGGTGCGAAAAGCTCTCTCTCCGAAATCTGCACGCAGGACCGGAGATCGCATAAAACGAGTTATAAACAAATCACATCGCAGGTTGAGCGAGACGTTTACAGCCCAGAGACATCAAGACCTGTTAACCTCCAGGCAGACCCTCGCCGCGCCCACGTTCAAACGGCGGGGCGGCTCTGAGGGCGGCGCACCTCCCGGAGCGGGGGATGGGGGTGCAAGGTGCAGGAGGGGTAGGGGTTTGGGGGGGGGGGTGTTTAAACCCCGCAGAAGACTGGATGGTGTGTAGCAGCTCTTCCTCTAAGTGCAATGGGATGAGCTACAGCCACCTCGGGGCTCAGAGACAGGGACTTGGCGCTCTCACTCTGCAGGAGAGCTCGCTCTCTGAAACCTTTCTAGAGGCTTCCACTCGCCTTCTCCGCAGCTCACACAAGTGATGGAGAGGGAGGGAAGGAGGGAGGGAGAGAGGGAGCGGCTGAAAAGCCGCAAGTGAATTTCATGGAGACCAGAGAAGTCTAGCTCAGAAATAGCTGCCTTGTGGAGAGAAGTAAACGGGGGGATGGGGTTGGGGGCGCAAAGCCCGGCCTGTCCCCCAACACATCACTGGGCTGGGAGTGCTCCCCGGAAAAACCTGCACCCCAGCTCCTGCTCCAAGCAGAAAGTTCCGTGAAGCCTCTCACGCACGTAGCCTGAGGTTCCAGAAAAAAAGACATCCATGGGGCCCTTTTTTCCTGGAAATGCAGGTCCCGCGCCCCCTCTTACACGCGCGCCCTGAGGCTGAGACCGGAGCCACCTTGGGGTCCCCATTCGGGGCGCACACGTGCGCGGGGGAAGGCAGAGCTGCAGGGGAGACGATCACACGGACCAGAGGGAAAAGGAGGCGGAGAAGAACAGGGAAACGGGGTGCCAGACAAGCAATGAGACCAGAGGAAAAAAAGTCGGGGCAGACAGACGCGCGGCGGCGGCGAACCTGGACAGGACCACACCGGGGAGCCCCGGCGGCGGCGAACCTGGACAGGACCACACCGGGGAGCCCCGGCTCCCCGCACGCAGGAGCCGCTGCGGCCGGCCACACCTTCTGAGCCCAGGAAAGTGGGGAGGGCGGTGTGCCCTGCAGCGGGGGGGGGGGGGGGGGGGGCCTCCTGCTCCCCGGAGGCCAGGGACCGCGGGAGGGAAGGAGGCAGCGCCGCGCGCCTCGGGAGGGGGCGAGCACCCACCTCGCTTGCTGCGTCTCCAGCGGTTGCCCTGGCAGTGGCTGTAATCCATGCAGTTGAGGATGATGAGGGCAAAGGAGAAGAGGCGAAACTGCATCTGGGCGGCCGGGCGGGGCAGAGGCGCCTCTCAGAGTCGGGGAACTGGAGGGCTCATCGGAAGCGCGGAGCCGGCGCTGCCCGCGGAGGGAGAGTCTCCGGGAGCCGGGGGGACGGCGCTGGTCAGTTCCGCGCGGCCAGCATCTCCCCGCCTTCAGCCTGAGAGAGAGACCGGGAGGAGAAGCGGGCTGGGTGGGGGGCGGGGGGGGGGAGAGCCCCAGGGAGGCAGCCGCCCCTGCGCGCGTCCCAACTTAAGGAGGGGAGGGAGGGAGGGAGGGAGGGGGGAGCGGACTCATCGCCAGGCACTGGCCGCGCAGCAGCTTATCCCCGAGCGCACAGCTGCCTCGGACCCGGAGCGGGAGGTGATTGCAATCAGTCCATCAGCCACCTCCGCGGCGCTGGAGGCTCCGACCAGGGGGGGAAAGGGCGTGTGCGGCTCTCCTGGGAGAGGCAAGAGCCCCGCAGGCACCGAGGGCGCGGGGCTAGAGGGGCGCGTTTTGGTCCTTGGGTGGGTCCCGGGGGTCGCCCGCCGCGGGCACTTACGTCTCGGGCGGTGCGGGTGTCTAGGCGCGGCGCCCCATCCCGGGCTCGGGAGCCAGTCGCCCCGCTAGCACGTGGGCCGGGGGAAAGTTAGCCGCCGGGACCCGCCGCCGGGAGCGCCTGGCAGCTCGGGGTTCGCGGGTTCGAAGTCCGCGGAGGGTCCCCCGGTGCCGCGTCCCCGCCGGTGAGTGCGGTCCTCGGGCGACGAGGGGCGCGCCCGCTCGCTCTCACTCCTCCCCCGGTCCCTATGCGATGGGGCGGCTTCCCGAGCTCTCTCTGCAGCTACTTCGCGGCTAAGGTTTCTCCTCCCTTCCTGAGCCGAGGGAGGCAGCACGCTCCCGGGGAGGCCGAGGGGATGTGGCGAGCAGCGCACTTTCCGACGGAGATGCAGCCGGCAGTGGCTCAGGATGCTTCTATAAGTAGGTGGTGCTGTGGTCCACGGCATCGAAGCCAGAGCTGCCTGGGAGTTCCTGGGTCCTAAAGCCAGAAAGTCCCGGGTTTCCCTGAGGTCCTAAAGAGCGCTGACAGCCAGCCTCCAGCTAGCCAGCCTAACCCCCAAGCGAACCCCCCCCTCCCTCCGGGCTTTCCAAAGTGGGTAGCAGGGGTGGGGGCGCCCCTGGACCATGGCTTTCTCCCGAGCACTCACTCTGAGGTCGCTTCCAATCTCAGCGCCAACCTTCCTGCAGGAGGACCAGAGCCACTTGATGGCTTCTAAGCTGCTGCTGATGATGAAGAGAGGAGAAAACACTTGAGTCTCATTCCCAAAGATGCCACACCTGGGCCATTTTTTAATTGGCGGGTTTTTTGTGTGTTTTTTTTTTTTTTTTTTTTTTTTTTTTTTGGATGATGGGAGCGTTTTTTGTGCCATTTTAGTGTTCTTTTCCAAGCCTTGAATTTCACATGTCCAGAAATTGGAGACTTGAGACAATCATATCGTGACAATAAGAATACTGTATGAGAATAGTCATGTTTATCAACGACTGCCTTATTGCCTACCGCTAATCACTTTTACCAACATCACATAGCCATACTTAGGTGCTAAGAATCCCCTTCCTGCACGCCTGAGTTGCATAAATCTGAGTGGCGATCACTAGTTCCATTTCCTAGATAAGGGACTTTGGCCCCTGAGACTGGCCCATAGGGCACAGAGTTGACAAACACGTTGCAGAAACAGAGGGTCTGTTTCTCTGCGCCCAGCGTGTTTGATTTTTATCACAGAATTTGGAAGTGGTCGGTCGGAAAACAGTTCAGCCTAGGGAGTGGGTGACACAAACATGATGACTTGATATTGCAGTGAATAGCCCTCCATCATAAATACCACTCCGCTCTGCGCTCATGCACACGCACACGCACACGCACACGCACACACCAAATGCACTTCTAAAGCAGTTAAATCCATGGGAGAATACAGTCTTCTTCAGATAAGCCCTCTGTCCTCTTCTACCGCTTTAACACCCATGCAAGAACTGGTTATCAGTGTCTTTTCAACTCTTTCAAAGCAAAACTAAGCACAAGACCAAGTAGATCTAGCACTCCCGTCAACGAGCAGGGTCACTTGGGGCATTTCTCTGGCTCTCTCAGCTTCTTGGCGATAATTTTAGGAAATTAGACCAAGAACTCTTCCATTTCTATTATGTTCTGGCTTACAATCAACTTTCTATTTCCATCAAGAAGTTGGATGTGCAATGGCACAGAGAAATTGTAAAAAAAAAAAAAAAAAAAAAAAAAAAAAAATTAAAATTAAAATTAAAAAAGTTTGATGTGGAGTCTAACCAGTGTGCGGGCAAATCTCATCACTGACGGGTTTTCAATGTAGGAAAATAAGTCAGCTTACTGTCCTCCTTAGATTTACAGCCCGCTTTCAACCTTCTGTCTTCAAAGATTACTTCCATAATTTTAACCATTTGGGTTTCACAGTTGGTATTTTTAAAAAAAAAAAAAAAAAAAAAACCACAGATACTTTTCAATTTAGTGAACTCCCAGATCCATTTTAGAAAAGAGAATTTTAACAGCACCGCTTCTATTGGAGCTTGGTTAATGCTCTTAATAAGATAAGAATGGGCTCTGGGAGAAAAGAAGATGCCTAATTCCTTTCTTCTTGTGCTTTCTCCTGGTCTGTCTCTGCTTTTTAAAGGACACCACTGATCCTCAAATATCTGTCACACTTAGTTCTTGAAGTATTTAATCTCTTTGGGCCTAGTCTGTTGATAATGAGGATTTTTGAGAAACAAAGATGGCGGCATAAGGTAAACACCTACATGTAGCCTATCACAACAATTTTAAAATTACAACTGGAAAACAGAGCAAACATTGTCCAGATAATGCAGATTGTTCCCCCATTCATTGAATATTATTCCTAATTTCAATACTCCAGGAAAGATTTCACTTCTAAAAAAACAACTCAAGTGGGTCCTAAATTATTAACTTTAATTCTGTATTCTTTCAGTTCTAAACCCTGAATGTGTTGTTGAGGCTAAGAGTTCATAGTTTCTCCATCTTGAAGGTTCAATGGACTTTTTCTTCAAACTGAGTTTAGATGGCAGTTTCATTAAACTGGCTTTGAAAATGGACATGTACCTGGTGTCTGTTTACAGAGAAGCATACAGAAGAGGTAGACATCACGAATGACAGAGATGGTTAACTGAGGGCAGGGATGGGGGGATGATCTATAGATACAAGGCAACTTGTGTACTTTAATTTTTTAGACTTGTAATTCATTCATACAGCTAAAATCCAATCTCTAATAAAGGACATACAGGGAAAAGGTTCTGTCCCAGCCAGCCAGTTCTGCTCAGAAACAACCAATTATTCATGATTACCTTCCAGGTTTTGAGTATTCTTCCAGAGATATGTTGTGTTTATCAAGAAAATGTGTGTGTGTGTGTGTGTTGCTTAACAACAGGAATACATTCTAGAAAATGAGTCCTTCCTTAGGTGATCTTATTGTCCTACAAACATCAACTAGAATACTGTATTAACTAATATGCGCCTCAATGTTTTTTATGCATCTGAGTTCACTTAATATCAGTTCATAAAGGACTTTCCTGGTCCAGATATTATTTAATTGCCCAGTTGTATTTAGCCAGCTCCCTACTGATGGATAGTTAGATGGTATTCATTCTTTTTCTGTTGTAAGCAAGGCCTCAAATAACCTTTTCATGAGTCATTTTATCTTTTCACTATAAAATTCTAAAAGTAGAAAAGTTGGATCAGTTGGATGTATGTGTGTGTGTTTCTTAAAATTATCTTCCTAAGAGGTTTTATCAAATTACTGTGTATGAAAGTGTCCATCTCCCTACAAACCAATCAATATGCTTTGGTCTTTGATACTCCAAGCCAGTGGTCAGCAAACTCATTAGTCAACAGAGCCAAATATCAATAGTACAATGATTGAAATTTCTTTTGAGAGCCAAATATTTAAACTTACACTTCTTCTAATGCCACTTTTTCAAAATAGACTTACCCAGGCCATGGTATTTTGTTGAAGAGTCACACTCAAGGGGCCAAAGAGCCGCATGTGGTTCATGAGCCACAGTTTGCCAACCACGGTCCTAGGCAAAAAAAAAAAAAAAAAAAAAAAAAAAAAAGGTATCTCAGTTGTTTTCTTTTCTTCTAAATAAATTATGTGTCTTTAATATACCTAAGCAAGTTATATTTTCCATAAACTCTCCATGATATTGGTGCCTTCTTTTTATATGTTCTTTGTCATTAATTTTTGTTTTATAGAATATATATATATATATATATATATATATCCTAATATTTAAATAGACCAAAGAGTGAACAACCAAACAACTGGTCACTATGATGTGCACTGACCACCAGGGGGCACCTGGGGACATGGCAGGTGTCGGCAGCAAGTGACAGAGCATGGAAAATGGTGGGTGATGGCCAAGATGGGTTGGTGGAGCAGGTGAGCGGGGGCACCAGACCAAGACAGGGTGCCGGTCACTGTATTCGGGGTGAGCCTCTGGTGGTTATTGAAAATTCATTGCTCCGTTGCCATGGAGCCACCAGGTGCTTGCACCCACAGCCTGCGCCCAGCACCAGCCCAGATCCTTGAGCGTAGTCAGCGGATGCGAGGGGTGGCTGCTGGCCCTGATTGCCCCTGAGGACTTCTCCACATCCCCCTCCTCCTGAGGGGCGATCTGAAGATGCCTGGCCCATTCACACCTGCTGCTGGTGAGCATCAGTGTGTGGAAGCAGCAAGTAGCTGCAGGAGTGGGGCCTTTGGCAGACAGGGGATCAGTAGGCAGGGGGCTGGGGCTGTGGTGGGAGGAGCTGGGTGGGGACACAGAGGATAGGCCAAGAGAGACTCACCCCTGTGCCCACCACAGCCTCGCAGCCCACAGTTCCTTTCAAGGTGCACAAATTCGTGCACTGGGCCACTAGTAGATGTATATTATCTTTTGAGATTTGAATTTCATATCTTTTTCTGAGTTTATCTCACTTGTCTCTTAA